CTCCGTGAGATCATTCGTAAAGAAGATCCCTCCCTAGTGAAACTAAATGTAAACTGGATTATCTAAAAGTGAAAAGAATCACTCAGGTTGTTTTTAATTGCATTGTGGGGGAAGTTAGGGCTAAGTCAGGAGGGCTGACACTCTTGTGGGAGAAGGAGGTGTTTTTGGATGGGATGGCAAGAAACTAGTTTTCCTAAGGGAAGGGAACGAGCAGAAGAATCAAAGTCGATCGACCATTGACTTTCATCCATCTCCAAAGCGGAAAAGGAATTGGATGTAGAGACAGGTGATGAATTAGCCACCTTCACTTTGCCTTTGGAAGTCTCCTTTTCATGGCTTATCACGAGAACGACCACGTTTGTTATCATCCATGCACGAGCGACTGCACTCTCGAGAACCACCTCGCCTGTTGCCATCCACAGCCTCCATCGGTCTTTCTTTCCAGCGGCCGACGACAATGCAATGAGTCGACCTCTTATCTGGGTAATCCCAGGAAAATGCCCCCCACACATCTTGTTACTCTGCCACCCACAGTAGAGCGGAATCTAGTTTTTTATCCGCCTTCCATTATCCCGCCTTTCCCTGCTTGAGACTTTCTTTTTAGCCCAGTCATGAACCACCCTGGTTGGAGCCATGGTCTATCCAGCAGTGCTACATATCCTCCTTGTTTTTTTTCTAAGATTGGCCTAAAGAACCGCACTTTCTTTTCCGGCTAAGAAGCCTTTAGGTTGTACGCTAGCCATACCTTGAACTGTGATGGCCACAATGCTTAGAAAGGAAAAGGCCGATTCCTAAGACGCCCTTGTTTGAATATTGAAACCATATCCACCATAGATTATGCATTTACTACATTCACTCCCTTAAATTGAAAGAGGAATTGCAACCTCCCGAATAATAAGAGTGAAAGAACCCGATCGGGAATTATGAATAGTATGAAAGGGGCGAAGCGGCTGAAGATAAGGAATATAACGAAATGCAGAATAGAATAGAGGTTGCTTAGGCCCCGGCCCGGCAGAGGCCGCTCAAGAGCTAACTCAGATAAGCTACCTTAATTCAGAATTAACAAACTGTCTTTCAGTGACTATGGAAAGGAGAAGCATTCCTAAGAGATTTATAGAGAATTTTGAATAGTTATCGCGCCTTGGGTCTACTACTAATACTAAGAATGGATCATTCTTCAGCCATACCCATACCAATACAATAATACAATAGGTCATACTATCTAGCATAGGCAGACCAAAGATTGCACATCGCAGTCTAAGCGTGCTTGCTTTGCGCACCAGCACAGCAGAATAGGAATCCGCTGGCTCAGATGAGTGGCTCAAGGATCACTTCCTTGAGAAGGGATTCTTTATTGTAACTAAGAAATGAGAATTGTTGACCCATATGATCTCTCAGCTTCAAAAAGAGGGGAGGAAACTGAAAATTTCACACTTATAGATTGAGCTCGTCAGTGATCTTTTCCATGGTGTCTAGAAAAAGCTATCACATTCGTACCCAAGGCAACGAAGTTGGCAGGCATTACTGTGATCATGAATCACTTGCTAGGAGCTAGTCGGTACGGCTCACTACTATTAGTGGGGTGGAGTCGAAGCTATGGCACCAGAAAGTTCAAAATCTTCCTTCCCGAACCACTCGTGTAGTCTTCTTCCTGCCTCCCAGTTAAGGACCTATCTCGCTTTCGCTTTCCAAGTCTCATTTGGATGAGGCGCCGTCGCACAACTCTCATTTAACATTCTTTCTTCTCTATCTGCCTAGAAAACCTCTTTTTCCCTACAAGGCACTCCCCAGCGAGCTCGAACGTCAATAGCGAGACAGATTACCAATACCAGGAACAGCTACCCCAGCAGAACCTATTGTTTCTCTACGGAAGCTTCGACTATTTATATATTCTATATGATCAAATATATCAAAGATACGATTGGAAGTGAATTGATAGGACAAATTTGATTGTGTCAACAGGTTTGTAACCCTATTCCTCCGAGGAAAATGGGGCCCTTTTCTTTTTGTTTAGCCAACCTACCTGCCTTGGAAGCTTTCGGTTCTTTCCGGCTAGTCGGTCTATCAATTAGTGGTAGTGGGGGAAGTCGTAGCAGTGGCCATTTCCCTTAGTCTGTCAAGCCAGTCCTACATCTGCAAACAAAAGAGTGAATTACGTAAGCATAACGTCTAGTGGTCGATTCGTTCTAAGTCTTCGATTTGGCCCGAAGTGATGAATCCATCCTCCTTTACGGTAGTACCGTAGGCTTTCCCACCTCTATCTTATTAAACTAGCTATCGTTCTACCATTGTTCGAGAGTATGGTAATCCTTTGACTAACTCTAACTCCAACTCTTAACTCCTACACTCGTTGTATACTTGATAAAGATAAAGAGAAGTATCAAGTATGGAATGTTCTCTTCCTTGGTCCCCTTATCCCTCCCTGTAAACTTATCTAAAATTCTTTTCTTTCGGTCCATCTCACCTGCCTGCGCCTTTCCTCTCCTTTACCGGTAAGGTTAGGTCAGCTTTTAAAGCTCACTTGGAGCTATGGTTTCATAGAAAAAGGAAAGCCCTAATAAATGGGTCTATTGCCACGAGTCCTTTCCCAGTCTTTGTAAGCAGTCACGTCAATATCAGAAAGAGAAAGCATGCTTCTAGTGTTGACGTTGGAACTATAGGATAAGGATGATTGGTCTTACACCCCCACTGGGGCTTTTAGGCGCATTCAACATAAGGCATCTGTAAAGGGTGGAAAAAATCGGGTGGGTGTTAGCGAACCATGACGATCTGTGAAGGTCAACAACCATGTGGAAAGTTTGACATAGTGAAAAGAGCTTCCATTTCATTAGTTAGGACCTATTCTCAAAACCTAATGCGTCAGCCTACTCTACTTGGAAAGACTTTTCGATTCTTATTGTTGCACGGCACCCATGGAGCCTCAAAACAGAGAGATTACTCCAAACACGTCAGACTACGAGTGCCAGCCAACTCACTCTATTTATGAACATAACAAGGAAAGCCTAACAAGTTGTAGGTGGTCCGATTTCCGTCAACTTCGTCCACACCTGCATGAATTTCAGTATATGTAAGCCACACATCAATCTAAGAAACCAGAGCGGGCTACTAGCATTGACCTTGTCGAGCTAACAAGTAATGATCATCCCCTTGGGCAAAAAGAGCACTGATAGGCATGGAGATGGCTCTTTGGAGTCTGAGTTTAGAGTTCACTATTTGAAATTCAATACCCCTATCTCCCGTAAAGACTAATCACTTTCTTGAGTGGCTACTTGAATCTCAGCTTACCACCATCCTGTCAAGTGAATAAAGATCAAACTAGAGACCAAGCGCATCGGACTGCATCTGAGGGGTTCTCTTGGTCTAACTTTCAGTCCTAGACTGTGAACCACATTCTTTGCATTCTCCGATGCCGATTGGGCTGGCTGCCCCGATAGCAGACGATCCACTACTGGCTTCTGCGTATTTCTTGCTAAACACCTTGGCTCCCCAGGATGAGGGCTGACTATTAGGCATCCCTTTTTGTTAGCCAGTGACATTCCTGCGCTAGTTCAATTGTGAGTTAGGATCGATCTACTTGATTTTATAGCCTTTTCTTTTCTTTCCTATAAAGGTTTTGAAAGTGAAGGAGTTTACCTAGTTCAATCAGTCAAAGGTTCCGGGAAGATAATATCGTATAAGGTTCCGGTTCCGTATAGAAGCTCATAGTTTAGGAGGTTCACTTTCATTCATAAGGAGTATTGATCTTGTTGAGTTTCGTCTTTCCTTTCAACACTTACAGTTAAAAAGATAGTGAAAGAAGGAAGAATCGTCCGTCCTGTTTACTTACCAAGTAAAAGAAGGAAAAGGGTTTGTTTCGGTTGAGTCTTTCAAGCAGAAGAAAGAAGAAGAGGTTCAGGAAAGAAAAGGTTTAATGTGAAAGTTGAGTCGAATGAATCTTGAGGGTTTACAGTTCGTGAAAGAATAAAGAACCAGAACTGAAGGGAATGAGGTAATCCCAGCCTTGTTCAAGCGTGAAATCAGGGAGAGAGAGTCAATTCATTAGCAGCTTTACTTTACCTTGTTCAATCTGGGAGTGAAGGAGGAAAGAATCCATAGGGTTCCAACAGGTGAATGAGCTTTCCTTGATTCTCATCTAGCCGCTTGACTTACCTTGCTTGTTCAAGAGTGAAATCAGTCTAATACATCCCCCTGACCTGATTTCATGAATTTACTCTCCTGGCATTTCAAGGAATATCTTCTTCTTCTTCTTGCATTCTCGTCAGGCATAGGGTTGAGGTTGAGTCTGATTTTCTTACAGTTCCATCAGATTACGGTTCAGGTTTAGGAGCTGCAAGGAATTGACTCTCCCTGATTTAAAACACTGTAAAGAAGATAATGAATCTTGAGTCTTGACTTTCAGGTTTAGGCAGAAGCCACGAGAACGAGTCCAATCAGGTTCTGGTTCACAAGAGTGAAAGAAGGGAAAGGACAAAGAGCTGGTCAATAATAAATAGGTTCAGGAGCTTTAGCGAAGGGTTTCGGTTTCGTCTTTGTTTACTGTTCAATCCAGAAATTGAGTATAAGGGGATAGAGGCTCCGGTTCCAGTTCAGTAGCTAATCTCATTGACTCTCCTGTAAAGGTGATTGAGCTTCTCTTTCTTTCATTCTATAAAGGATCCGGGGAAGGAGGATCAGGAGTCTTGACTCCCTTCTTTCAAACAAAGACTGTAACCTCGGTTTCGGTTCCAGAGCTCTCGTGTCAACCACTTCCTCTTTTTCTGACTGATAAGGGTTACTCGAAGAGGGAAAGGAAGAAGACAAAGACAGAGTGAAAGAGGGTGAAGGAAATGGAATTGTGAAACCGCGAGTAAACGAGGTAAAGGGTCAGCAGTTTTGTCTCATTCATCTTTCTTACAATCGAGGAAAAGAGTGAAAAAGAAGGATTGAATATGCTTTCCTTTATTCAAGAATAGTGAAACCCGAGTTCAATGACCTCCAAAACAAAATAGGTATAGGTTCAGGAGCTTGACCTTTTTTCTTAACTGTTTAATCTGGTTCAGTGAAGGAGTTCAGGCAATGGAATAGTTCAACCCGAGTTCAATCTGTCTCATTCATCATAAGAAGTTCAGTCTGTGTTTACAGTTCAAGAATAATGAACTAGTAGAACTTCAGGTAATATTGGTGTTCAGGTTCAGTAGCTTAGGGAATGGAATAAAGGCTCAAGTTCCGTCATTCATTTACTCGATAGTAAAGTTCAGGGAAGGTCATAGAGTATAATAAGGGTCCGGGGCAGTTAAGTTTGATTCTAAACACTATTTATCGACTGTAAAGTAAAGAAAGGTTAGCTTTACCTCCAGAAATAAGGGAGGGTCATATCGGTTCAGGAGTGAAAGAAGGATTGAAGGAGAGAGATAGTTTACGAGTTCAATCTGTCAAAGGATCATGAATCTTGTTGAGTCGAATGAATAAGGTTGAGTCTTTCAAAGCAGCTAATTCATCCTTGAACGGTAAAGGAGAATGGAATCAATCTTCAGTCTCCCTTCATTTATTCTTTCTTTCACAGTAAACTCAGAGAAGGTTCAGGTTCATGAGCTAATCAAATCTTTCATTCATTTACTCGACGAGAAAGTTTAGGGAATATCGTCTTTGGTTCCAGAGCTCAGCTGCTTTACCGAGTTGACGAGGGAAAGGCAATGGGCTTTACCGATAGGGAGAGGGACGAATTAGCTTTCACAAATGCAATGTTGTCTTAGGTCTCTCTAGCACTTCTTGGCGGATTCACTATCAAGTCAGACAAAGAAAGGACCTTCTTCAAGGCAAACAAGCCATTAGGATGGTAGTAATTGAGGAGACACTTGATTGATATGGGAGAAAGAAGACTGACTGAGTACATAGAAGTGCTCAGGTTTCAGAACTGAGTCTGTACTAAGGCTAAGGAAAAGCAATATCTCACATCTCTCTCTTCTCTGAATCTTACTTACATAGGATACTAGGATGTTTGACCAGTAGAAGCTATCCGAACCTCTCATCACAGCACAAAGCATGCCATCCAATTCATTATGTAAAGCCTGACTCTAACAAGTAAGCAAGTAAACTAACATATTTCACCCCGTCCTTTTGAGTTGTAAGCAATGTCCCTTCGCTTGATAAGACTTCCTATGATAGAAGGAATTTCAAGCTAGGACGGATTAGAAAGATTATCATCCCATCCTAAAGGAATGTTTACTTAATGGACAAATTGGACTACTGGAAAACAGAAACAGCTAATGGAAAGCAGTTAATATTCTGCTAGACTAGTCTATACCACTTTTGCAATTGAAGTTCATCCCTTAATCCGAGTATAGGAGATTACGATTTTTTATGGTTCTACACCTGTAGCAAGCACATTCCCTGGCTATAATCAAATGGCACAAAAAGAGAAAGAAAGACGGGCTTCAGTCCCCACATCATGATTAGGGGTGACGGGTCTATTCCACCAGCTGAATGAAAGGGAGGAAGACAGAAGGAATCGAAAGAATGGAAAGCTGCCAAGGCTTATAATAATAGATGGAATAGCCGATTATAGTCAATCTGATTTAAGGTGGATTGACTGGCTTACAAAAATTTCCTCGGCTTCTAGGCACAGTTGAGGGTAAAGATTAGGATGATTGATAGGTCTGCTAAACTGGAATAGTGAATGATGGCCCCTTAGGGTAGGGCGATTGGACTAGATCGAAAGCCCGGAACATCCTTGATATTGTGAAGTGACCCTCGCGCTTAAAAGCACTGGAATACTTGACTGAGACCTTAGCCGCCAATGCTGATAGAAAAAAATGCCCATTCCCCCGCTTTTTCAGACTGGTGAAGAGAATCTCTTAGACCGAGGGTTTTGAGATAGAGGTCCTTTAAGGTGAACTTATTCCTTACTAGTTAGAAACACTTTTTCATACAGTCTTTCCAACTGGCTATTCTCGGGCTTGAAAGCTTGAACGTGACGAATAGGCTGCACTTCTTTTTTATTACAATAGGTGGAGTCTCTAAAAGCCTTATATGAGCATGAGATTGAATAAGTATGGCATTGATGTGAATGACTTCGGCCCAAAGGTTAGGAATCCTACTTTCATTCTTTTTAGGGAAAGAACCGACCCCAACCAACCAACGGGGCTAGCTACTCTTTTATCCGCTACTGTCTCTGACCAACTGCATTAGCACTTGTTGAATTGGTCTTCGGCAATAACTTCGGAGTCGTTCAAATAGAAGTCAGAAACTGATTCAACTTATCCGGGGCAACTCAGCCCTTTAACATTCTCTTTCTCTCTTTCTGGCTTAGCCTACCAGGGAAATGGCTCCTTCTTCTTGATAGCACACGTGAGAACACCCCTAATGGGCTCGCTTCACCGATCTATATATAGATCGCCTCTAGATCCCATTAGTAGACTGATTTAGTCAAGTATGCCAATAGGGGCTCCGCGCTTACTTACTTGAAGAGGCATATGAAAGATATCCCCGAATGGTATTGATGGCAGATTCCCTTGGAGCAAAGGAGAGAGAATGCTAGCAACTTCGAAAGACCCTCTTAGGCTATTGATATTGTTGGAAGAGTAGTTTTCCTGGAAATATATATGCATCTACTAGTTTCATGGCGCCATACCCTCACCGCATTATTGACTTTTCAATCTTAACTTTAGCATTTATACAGCTGCGTCAGCAGTAGGCTTACAAGTTATATTCCAATTATGTCAAATTCACTATGGATATAATATGAACTTACTACATCCAACAATCTTTCATTTACTTTAGGGAAGGCTATTCCATTGTATGACAGTTTAGGTGGTGGTATCATTCAAAAGAAAGAGATAATTGATATAATTGAACAACAAGTGAGGTTATAAGGTGATAGATAGAAGTATGCTGCGATAACTGGGGTATTTATCAACATATTTGATGAATCAAGAGATGATTCCCTGATATCCTTAGTAGACGAACAAAATAATCGAAATGTATGATATATATAGGTAATCTAATTTCAGTTAGTTATGGATTCCGATATAATAAGTGGTGCTTATCTACCATCAGTCAAATCACTGATGTATAAAGTCGTATTCCATCTCTCTCATATTAATGCAATAAAAGGGAATAAGAAAAATGTTGTCCTTTCATTGTAGCCGATTTAGAGACTGTACTGGTGAATAGTGTGACTGCTCCTTATGCAGCTGGTTACTTAGTGGTTCAGCCTGGTGATGATCTGACTTCTTTACCTTCCTATTCGATACAAACCTTTTTCAGCGAAAATCACATGACATTCTATCCGAACTTTGAAGACAGGAGTCAAAGAATCTTATTTGAATTTCTCTTCAATTTTGAGGAATGTGTGAAAAAGAATAGTAAGCTTAGAACCGTAGATTTCCATAATTTAGCCCAATTTGATGGAATTTGACTGATTAGGTATTATGTTGATCGTCTTAATAGGTATCAAATCAAACCCTTGGTGAGGAAGAATCGAATTTACAAGTTGAAAGTCTATATTGGCAATAATTGATTCATACGTTTTCGAGATTCTTGTACATTGCTGCCTCCCTCTCTTGCATCATTGGGAAAAACATTATGCCCTGAATTAGGCCTCAAAGGTTCTATCCCACATTCTGATTTGGTTGTGTCTGATCTTCAGGGTAAGAAGAATGAGTCTTTGATAAATGATCTTCGACAAGATATCCTTCTCTTAGGTGGTGTGATCTTGAAGGCTCAAGAAATCAATTGGTATAAGTATCAGATTGATGTCGAGGATGTGATGACAGTGTCTGCGCTTTCCCTAAAAATTGTTCGTAAAAAAGATTTAGATGATAAGGCCTTTCATATCAATATCCCTACTAGAAACCAAGACACTTCTCTTAGGCGCGGCTATTATGGGGGTCATGTGGATATACATAAGCCCTATTGTGAAAATCTTGACTACTACGATGTAAACTCTTTATATTCTTTTATTATTCAATCCTATCTGATGCCTTGTGCTGTACCTGAATGGCATACTCATTTGGAGGGCGTTGGTTTGGATAGCTTGTTTGGATTTATTGAGGCCTATGTTGTATGTCCTACTCATATAGAACGACCATTCTTGCCATATGAGGAAGGAGAAATTTGGTACTTGAATCTTTCGGTAAATTCATTGGAGTATGATATAGCGAAGAGCTTAAGTTCGCATGTAATTTAGGTTACCATATAATTCCTCTTAGGGGATATTTGTTTGAGAATCAGTCAAGTCCTTTCGAAGGTCTCATCTCTGACCTCTATGAAAGCAGACTAGAAGCTAAGAAAAGAGAGAGCCTATGACATTTGTTTACAAGCTATTAATGAACTCGCTCTATGGTAGATTTGGTATGAATCCAGAAAGTACAGTAACCGAAATCCGCAATCTAAATCAATACGAGGATTTGATGAAGATGGAGAATTTTCAAGCTCAAGCCAGGAATGAGATTCTTTCACCAAGCCAAGTGGGATTCAAGTAAAGAAAAGGTGAAATCCCATTCTTCAACCCCAAACTGCATGCCCTGCCTTAGATGAAATTCCTCTTCAGTCTCGCTTCTTCTCCAAGCCAACCATCTGATCAAGCACGAGTTGAATAACCAGTATAAAAAATTTGTTCTGATCCCACCCAGGTAAGGTGAATATGCGGTGTGTCAAGAGTAGGTCAGCCTTCCATTAGGGAATCATGGAGGAAGAGAAGCAAGAGAAGTGAAGACAGACTCAAAACAAACAATAATGATCAGACTCAAAGCTCTCTCTTGACCAACCAGCTCTTTCATTAAGGAGAGGCGAGACTTGAACCACGGGCTTACCCATTTAGTAGATCATGCCTCTATCTCCGTAGTTTTTGGTATTTCCGCCTTCCATTTTCTATTTCTCTGTGACTGAAGGAACGAATGGGATTTCTCCCTCTCCAACTTGACTAGAATCAAGGAGGGTCGGCCTGTGATCGTAGCCCGATAGCTATTCCTATGCCTTTCTAACTCTCTAGTAGCTCAGTTACGAATAAACATCCTATGTTTAATGCTTGATTGATCTCTTATTACACTATAGAGTAGATGAAGAATAAAGTGACGGTGATTCAAATTCAATTACGTAGAATGAGATGAAGAAAGATCATGCTTTGAACAAGTTCTTACAGAATGA